AGAGGAGGGAGCAGAAGAAGAAGGGGGACCGGGGGGCGGGAGGGTGCTGCACAAAACCGGGGTGGGGGGAGAGTTGAGGGTGCGCCCAGAGAGACCAGGGTGGGGCACCTGCATGCAGCAGTCAAGGGTGGGACTTGGCTCCTTGGCGACTCTGTGGTAGGGGTGGGGCACTTGGAGGGCGGGGTGGGGGCGCGACTGCAGTCTGGGAATGTGCTTGGTGCCACGGAATCGGTGTTGCGCGCGTTAAAGTTGTCCAGCTCCACAAGGGGATTGGGGTGGGGTGGGGGAGGGGAAGTGGGAGTTGGGCGTTGCCTCGAGCCTAGACTTGCACTAACCACAGGCTACTTTGCAGCTTCTGTTGTATCATCTGGTTAATAAATGCAGAGAATGGCTCTCATTAATCCCGAAAGATCCTGTGGTCAACCTGCTTTATGACTAATTTTTCCAACCACTCCCTCCCCTTAGCAGGTAGACAGGAATACAATCAAAATTGTTTCAGGTAACTAGCAAGTGATGGTCACAGTAAACCATTTTTTTTTTTTTTTAAAGGATCTCCATCCCGGGGGGCGGGGGGTGTATAAAAATAATATAGATACATAAGAAATATTTTAGAGAAAATATTTTAAAAAATCTATCTACATTCTTCCCCTATAAAGAAACATTAATTTTCTTGCATGTGACCTGGCTAAAGAAGAGTTAATCAGTAAAAGTGAAACAAGTTTTTTGTATCAATTTAGTTTTCTTGGAGGCATTTTGTGATGATCATTCGACTGTATTAATTAAAGAAATTTTAAAAAGAATTTTCTTCTATTAGTTTTTAAAAATCTCATCTTTTAATCTTTTTTTCTTTCTTTTTTTTTTTAATCGGAGAATTCCTTTCCTTTGTTTTATTGTTGCACAATATAAACATTTTTTTGTAAGCCCTTTACCAATTTCTCCCCAACCCTCCCTCCCCCTCCTTCTTTGAAACTGGGTATTTTAGGCAAGAAAGTTTTTTTTTTTTTTAAAAAGAACAGGCAGTTGTTTTACAGGAGATTTTATAGAAGGTGTGTACTTACTTTGATTTTAATTGAAACCAGGCCTTTGCAGCTATACTGCAGTAAAATGATGGTAGGGATTTATGCTTGGAGGTTTTTTTTTTTTTTTTTTTTTGTCTTCCAACAGGACACAATCAACAAGCTAGAGAATGAATTGAGAACCACAAAGAGTGAAATGGCACGATACCTGAAAGAATACCAAGACCTCCTCAACGTGAAAATGGCTTTGGATATTGAGATTGCAGCTTACAGGTAAAAACAGAGGGGTGAAGGTGGCAGCCACATGCCTTAGGAATTCCATCTGCAGTTATGTTGAATCAGAAACCTTCGAGAGGAGTCCTTTGAAATAATGAAGTGTTAGTTTTTTGATTTTTTTCCAAGAATAAGGTATTTAGATAAATACAGAAGACTATAACCCTGTAATAATGAGTCCTCTTCTTAGCTTCCCATTACATTTTAAATCTAATAGAACTAGTTAAGCTCGTTTTTATCCCCTGGTCTCGGTCATAAAATCCCCGGTCATTAAATTTTGTAATTCCCAGCCCTGCTCTTGCAGCATTTACCTTCAAGGGTGACATTAGGGGGGAGTGATGAGTAGTGGGCTCAGAGCAAGTCATTAAACACATTTCCTCGGATTTTAATTTTATTTATTTTATTTATTTAAATTCCATCCTTCACCTGCCTCCCCAGGAAACTCTTGGAAGGTGAGGAGACCCGACTCAGTTTCACCAGCGTGGGAAGCATAACCAGTGGCTACGCCCAGAGCTCCCAGGTCTTCGGCCGGTCTGCCTATGGTGGTTTACAGACCAGCTCCTACTTGATGTCTGCCCGCTCCTTCCCGTCTTACTACACCAGCCACGTCCAGGAAGAGCAGATCGAGGTGGAGGAGACCATCGAGGCTGCAAAAGCCGAAGAAGCCAAGGACGAACCCCCCTCTGAAGGAGAAGCTGAAGAGGAGGAAAAGAAGGAAGAGGAGGGTGAGGAAGAGGAGGGAGCAGAAGAAGAAGAAGGTATGATAAAAACCAAACCCTGCAATGTCAAGTGCAAACTGGGGTCCATATTTGTGAGGGGATGGAGGAGCTAAATGAAGCCTTGCTTCTACTAGGAAAGCTATTCACATACGACTTTAGAATCTTAAATCATACATTTATCTGTTCATTCAGCAAACGGTTAGTAAGCACCTGTTAGGAGTAAGGCGATTAGTCAACTATTTCACTTTTTAATGTATTCATTTAACACAACAGTTTGATGTTCTCAAGAACAAAAATGAGTAGCAAACACAGAAAAGAAATACTGGGGTTAGGTCTTTAAAAGAAGCAGTACTTCCAATACCTAGAAGTAGTCTCTTTCTGTTTAAACGAATTGCATTTGCTGGCCAATTACTATGCAAGAATTTCCTGCTACGTGTGCTTTTGGAGAGAGGTATTTGGTAAGTATTCTGACAATTGTGTTTTCCTAAAACCTTAGCAGAAATGTTTTGATTCTGGACTGACTCTGCATTTGGATCTTGTAAATTTCCTTTTTTATATTAAAGCTGCAAAGGAAGAATCTGAAGATGCGAAGGAAGAAGGAGAAGGTGAAGGCGAAGAAGGAGAAGAAACCAAAGAAGCTGAAGAGGATGAGAAAAAAGAGGAAGGTGCTGGGGAGGAACAAGCAACTAAGAAGAAAGACTGAGCCCCCTTTTCCTTAACGGTTCCAGGGATAGTCTCCCCAAGTCAGGTCAACCTCATCACCCACCCACCCACCAGTTGAGTTCCAGATCCTATATGAATTAAGAAGTCAACATATGTATAATTCTGAGATGACTTAGGTTGGTCCTTCAATGTTGTGCTGTGAATTTTCTCCTCACGCAGAGTCTCTGTTTGCTTGCAGAGTGGCTTTTCTGGCTTGCTGCCAGCCCGTGCATGGTCCACGCTTATGAGTTCAGGATCTATGGCAATGTGAATCATTCAGATGTTTACAATAAAAAAAACACAACATGAATAAATGAATTCACTAATGTTAATGTTAACTTCATGGAAAAATAGCCCTTTGAGCCTTTGGTGGTTAGAAATTAAAGACCTTGAGTTATGTGCAATAAATAGTAAATAAAGTTACACCGAATGACATTTCTTGCTGTGGTTGTTTACTTAATTAAAATATCTTAGAGATGGCACCAATGTAAATCATATACAAGTGGACTATTGACCTCCAATTTTTTTTTAAAGTGAAAATTTAAACAGTTATGATACTTTTTTCCCTCCTTAATTAAAAATTCTGAGGGATATAGTTAGGTATGACTATTCAGGAAATATCTCCCCTCAAATACTTTACTGATAATAAACATGAGTAAATGAGAGAGTTTGTAATTAAAAATATACTTTGCCCCATAACATGTACTATATTAGATTGTACTTTCTAGGAAGCAGTCCTGAAATCATGTGACAAATATACCTTTTATGGTAAATAGGTCATTTCAAACTAGTATGTAATAATGCAATATGGATAGAATATGAATCCCACATGTGTCACCATAACTACATTTTAAAAATATAGTCTAAATAGCATGGGCAGAAGTTGAAACCTGAGCACAATATAATCAGGAGGAATAAATTTTTTATTGATGTATACATTTTGGAAGAGAGAGTAAAAATATCAAAGGTTATTTGCTTCTGTAAACATGTTGCCTGCAATCCTGAGCTCATGATTCAGTGTGTTGTTGGCTTAATTCTTTTCCCTCAAGTAAATAGCATTTAATGTTACACATTTTTAAACCTTTTAAAAACTACAGACACAGGAAATGAAATTATTATCATTACTTAAGTGGGGAGGTAATATACTTGTAGGTTACATTGGCATTGCTCTGCATGTCTTCATTGGGAAATATTTGGATTTCAGTGATAGCTCAACTGGTTGGCCATTGCATCAAAAACACATCTCATCTGTTCTCCCTGTCCACTGTAAAGTTATGAAAGTTCTTGCACTTGCATTTGATGTGAAATATAAATGAAATTATTGACTAGCTGTTGTTCTGCTTCTGTTCTTAAGCAATTGCTTTTAATTGGCTCATTTTGTTCAATATTTGTTTCTTAGATAGCCTTTAAGAATTATGAATTTAACCTGAAACCAAATTGGTCCCCATTTAAAGTTGTTTGATCCCTTTGCACTACCTATTTCTAGTTAAATATATGTTACTATGCAAATAGCTGAAATATTTCTTTATGTACAATGATGATATGTATTTGATCTAGGAAGACTCTCAGAACATCAGTTTCTGCAAAGATTGGGAGTCTCCTCAGAAACCAAATTTTTTGCATTTATGCTTATTAGACATGGGATGATGCACATGGTAAATCTCAGATGCAAACTATATGTGAAAAATAACTTAAGCTAAATGGAAGTAGCTGGTTGGCTTGAGAA